TTCTGGTTAATAACGTAATATTGGTGAAAATTTTACACAATTGTGATAATAAATTATCTATAAGTATGTAATAAATTGGTCGTAATGAATTCGTGCGGTGGCGATGGATCGGTGATGTTTGTGCTTCCTGTTTTGTTGTTCTCTGTGGGGAAGTTGCGGTCAGCGTAAAAAAAAACACACAGCGAGTGTGTTCGATGATAAAAAATTGTTTTCGGGTGCAATTAGGCGGATCGTACCCAAAAGTACCAAATGTGCAGCAGGTGTCAGGCATACAAATTAAATATCGATTTGTGTTTTGTGGTTTTGCACTGATTTTATTTAGTTACCTTGCGAAACAAAACTATTATCAACTGGATGTTGCTTTATATCATTAACAAGATGCCGTGGGATTTGTAATATTGTTGTAGCTACGATATATGACGATGAAACAGTAGAAGACGTTTAGTAAGCAAAAAAGTTGCGACTTTGCTATGCCTAGTTATACACGGTGTCAATTGCAAGCGATAGTGCACATTGCGTGATTAAGATTTTTCTATCTTTTTTGTTTTGTAAACGTTTATAAGCATTCAAGACGGCGCGCCGCCCGATTAAAATAACAATCGTCGGCGGCTGCAGACGTTGTTGAATGCCATTATGCGGGGATTCTAATTACTAAATCGTGTTCCGCGTAACAAGCGCAAAACAACAATATGTGCGCGTCCGTCGACCGAAAGTGTTTTGGCGCGCCCGAATTCGTGCGCGGCAATTTTATTAAACAATTTCGGGCTCGTCTAGACGCGCGATGCCGATGCCGCTCGCGCGTTTGTTGAATGTTGTGCATGATGACACGATTGGGATCGCGGTAGCATCATAACAACAAAAACAATGCGACCGCGCATTATAACAAAAAATGTAAACAACCATTCCGCTGCTGTATGTGTTGCTAGTTGCAATTCGGTGAACAGCCCGCGGTTATAGTTATAAATCTGCCGCCTTTTTTTGTTACTGATGCGCGTTTTAAGACAGGGTCACCGTGTGTCCTACTGTGTCAGACCAAAGACGCGCATCTCGAACTGAAGCTGGTTAATTAAAGACAATCCCACACGACGACGCGCTCGTGTGTCGTCTACAACAATAACATTTCGGAGCATTTCCCAACCAATACGAATGTGTCAAGCTTAGTGGCGTGTGAGGATTGGATCCTCGATAATATATGTGCATTTTTATATAGAAATTCTATTTTCTAACATCAAGGAAACATCGAAATTTATTGAATTACAACTGTTGAGAGTCGGCAGTGCTGCGTATATAAAATGCCTACTTTAGTTGTTGAGCTGACGAGAACTTAAAAATAGTTAGCGTCGAATTTAAGCGCTAACCTTCGCGATGATGAAATATTTTAGGATAATATTTAAATTTTTGACGCTTTCATGCATGTTTAATTAATTCGCTGAAGTCGTCTCGACATCGGCCCAAAATTATGAAACTTTCAACAAAAATTGAAAGTGATTGTGGACGAAGTAGGTCAATAGAATCCGATACTATCTAGGGTCGCGTTTCGTTATCGATGAGAAGCTTAAAATTGAAATCGATTGGTATTACAACTTGAAGTGTCTTACGGTTGAAGTTTTCTAGTTGTTGTTTGTACGCGATTTGTGGTGGAATATTGTGGGAAAAGTAAGTGGATTAAATAAAAGTCGTGTTTGGAAGTTTTGTCACGTTGGCGCGATGCGTTTTCTAGTCGGGGGCTACAATATGTTTAAACAGGTATATATCTACATATATAGGGCGAGCAAGTTGACATTTTATTGTATTATTTGGTTGTTCCGATGTCGCTCTGTGCATTTCATAAGATTCAAAAGCAATAGAAATGGTAATTTGTGGAAAATGGAAAGAGGTAGAATTATTCTGGGGCTGGCGCGTCCGATGAATACAAAAGATCAGGAAAACAAGAACGCGATGTGGAAAAATAATAAGTTTTACCGGCGAAATAGCAAAGCGGGTGCGCACAGCTGCGCCAACTGCAGATAATACAATAAATATTCGTCCTACGGCAAGTATCCGCATTCCATCCATCAACGTTGGGCAAATAAGGGCACAATTCGTGTTATACATTTGTCATCTTTTCTATGGCGAAATCTCCGAGCTGCACTATTCTTCTGCAGTTCATAGAAGCGCATTCGGTGTTACCGCATGCGCAAGTTGAGATGAATGCGTTTTATCGTTTTATGCCTTTTTAAAGGGCTTCTACTGCACTGCGACAGCCGCCTCTTCAAAATATAGCTTGTTCCGTACCCATGAATGAATTCTTGCCTATTCAGCACTTTGTGTGGCATTCAGAGATATTGTCATTGGGGCGTTGCAGAAATTTCAAAAATTTCCGATGAAGAAAACCGTTTTCCGGCATTTCGACGGTAATTATCACTAAATCTATAGCTGTCATAAGATGGTTTCGTCGTGCGCGCGTATGTGTGAACATGTCGTAATACGTAATAAGTGCGTCGTGCTGCGTGCCAGGCCTGTTAGCAAGGCGGAAATCAAGCGTGTATCACTCGCCGGCAATGATTTTAAAATCGTTTGGCGTCGCGGCGATAGAAACTCCCGCCAACTTCCTCCTCGCCTCACCTCTCGCTAGACGCGCGTTCCGATTAAAGTGCGTAGACGTTTTTTTTTTTGCCGCGAATGTCGCGTTGTATCTCAAATCTACAACACCGTCACACACTACACTACTATAAAGTTCACTACACTGATACTCGCGCTTTTTTATAATATGTCAAGGCCGGCCGTGCGGCACCAAAGTACTACACATGTTTCGCATATCAACTGGCTTCCTACTACGTTCCGAATGTTTGACATTCCCTGCCCCCGCACGCACCTTAAACAAACCAATTTAGTATCGGACGTTTTTTTTCCAATCTAATTGATTGATTAGTACCAGAATAGAAATTTAATTCGATTAGGAGATGGTTTGGTACACTGGGTATAGAATTAAATTCGTTGGTAAAGGAAAGTTGGGAGTCAGGAGAGGATAATGGCACTTGGTGTAGGCTAGACGCTCGATGACGGAGGTCAATTCCCCACTGCGGCGGCGGCTGGCGGTGGCGTCGGCGGCGTCGTCGCGCCTCGTATATTTAGCTACGCGTGTCTCACCGCCGCACACACCCACATATTTGGCATTGCAGCGTGAAGTAGTAGTCGTAGTGGCCAGCCTGAAAGCGAACGTAGTTAAGTTTTAATGTTAACACCTAGGCTTTTCTAATATTTGAAAAATCTGAATATAAAAATAGTTCCGAACATAAACGAAGAATCTAACAATCGACCCGTGTTTAATTATTAAGGCCAGACATATTTAAAATACCGGAGCAAAAATCTATAAATACGGTTGGACGTAGATTTAGATGAGTTGGAAGTTGCGCGGCCGTTTTCGCTTCCACATTCCTTTGCGGTCGATCTTAACGCGCACATGACACTCACACACTCGCACGCGAAAGCAATTGGTCACAATGCTAAACATGTGACCGATAGCATCGTGTTCACCTTATATTACCACACATTGTTTTGCTCCAATGGGTTTAATGCGGCGCTATTACGAAATATTCACTTCATTCACAACTGTAACTCCTTGTAACATCCGGCTGCCCACGCGCCCCCACGTCCTCTCCCTTAGCGGCATGTGAACGATTCATTAATAAAGTTTGGTAACATTATGAGCGCGCACACACACCTTTCTGCTTCGAATTGCTTTGAATGAATGAATAAAATGCAGAAGTTGTTCAATTACTTCCTAAAACGGACAATTGACTAATAGTGTCTCATCGCAATTTGAGCGTAATTATTTTGTTCATGCGTTCGTCTTCTTTCTGCACGTGGTGTAACGGTTTTCGCCGCAGAAAGAAATCTTTCGGACGCGCAGCGCGAGCCTGCTTCACTCAGCAACAAGAATGTGAAAGGTCGCTCCGTGCGCGGATCCAGTTTTAGAGAACAACATTCTCTCATTCTAAAGAAGCACGCATGCTGGAGAAAGAGTGTGTACGCGCGACGTGTGCGAGCATCAATTTTCCAATTACGTGGCTTTTTCTCATAATTGACATTTTTTTCTCATTTGTATTTGACGTATGTTTTCACATCATACACCTTCTCTTCGTAGCGTTTAAGTATACATCGGGCATAAATTTTGTGTGTCTACCTGGCGTTGTGATATTTTAGGTAGATGGGTAGTTATTTATTTGGTAAGATATTACCTGCAGACTATTTATGAATTGTGCAGGAGTTTGCTTCCATTGAATTTTCGTCCATTCATGCGAACGAGCACACCTCCACTTGTCGGCAAATGGTTTGTCCAATCTTCTATGAAGTTCTGAGTATATCTGCCGGTACAACAAAAAAAAGAGAAAACTTTGGCGCTTCGAGGAATTATAATTTTATATTGCAACTTAGTTTGCGGTTTTGACAAGTATTTTTTGTGTTATACCGGTTCTAGATTTATTTTCAATTTTTTTTTTGGAGCAGAACTGTACTCTATGTAAATATTTGATTGTCTAAACTTCCTGCTTCAGTCTTTTATCATTCGTTTCGAAGGGCACGCGTTATCTGCTGGCGTTACGTCAAAAAGAGTATTTTATCAAGGTGCACGTGTACTCGATGCGAGATTCTCACGTTTCGAATCAAATGTGTTCTACTTTATCTCTTCGGTGTGACAAAGTGTGCATTCTGCTGAAAGTGGTATTACTCAATTTTCAAGTTTCAAGTTCGTGCGAGATGAGACTCGTAGCTTCGTGTATAGTTTTTTTTTGTATTCAATAGATAGGCGTTGTGCAGTTTTAACGAACGGGGCGGTCACAGTTCTCGGAAGAACACCGTCTTGCGAGAGCAGGTAGAAGATTCGGTTTCGCAAATGCTCGCCTTCACAGAAACTCGCCGCGCTAGTTTTACGAATAGTGTCATTTACTTTTACAAATATTTATTTATCTCTCAGCGAAACTAATCGGACACTAATTTTTTTCATATTTTTATTTTTACAGAAGAAGAAATCGATGTTGTATCAACCGATGACAAGCACCTCAATCCTCAGCGAGGAGTTAGCGCCCTGCCAACGAATCCGACCACCAGAGACCGCCAGCAGATTCAGAAGACGATGGCTTCCGCAATTACGAAAAACGGCATTCGAACATTGGTGCCACGCAAAACCGGCCCCGGCAGCATAGAGCATTCCCCCTCGAAGCGGCGGCCGGACGCCCGCGGAATCAAACGCAACCGCCATCGAATGCCCACGTCGCCCTACAAGAAACAGCGCTCATACCACGCTCACCAGCAACAACTCAGCAGCGACAGCGAGCAGGAACCGTCCGAGAAGCGCATCGAGCACAATAACATGGAGCGCCAACGGCGGGTGGACCTCCGGAACGCGTTCGAGGAACTGCGCGTCCTGGTGCCCGAGGTGAACAAGCGTGAGCGTGCGCCTAAAGTGGTCATTCTGCGCGAGGCGGCCGTCTACTGCCACAAGCTGACGGACGTCTCGGACGCAATGCACCGGCAGGTCGATGAGATGCGGCGTGTGCAGAAGCGCTTGCGAACACGACTGTCGCAGCTGCGCCTCAGTCTGGCGCCCAAGCATCGATAAGCAATGCGCGGTAAGGACACAATGTGAAACACACTCACACACACATACTGAATTTCGCTTGGTTGCGTATAAATTCACTTTTCATTACTAAAGAGGTCAAACTTAAAACAGGAAAAAGCTAACAATAACGGAAAAGTTGAAAGAAAAAAAAACACACGCAAAATTCATTACAAAAAACAATATAACTGTGATTTAATTAAAAGTTTCAACGTATTTTTGTTTTGTTTGTTTAGTTTTATTTTCGAATTAGGAATGAATACATTTTTAGTTTTCTAAACACGTATCCAATTGAATTTGATCATTTTGGCACAACAAGGAAGAAAAGCTCAATTTAGTTTTACACAATTTGTGTTTTTTTCGTATTGTATATTGTATATATTATTGTAACGAAGTCGAAATACGTTTGAGTTGGTTTTTTGCTTCTAATTTTCGAAACTACACTTTTATTTGATTGATCTAGAATACGATTGATATGAAATTTAGGCTAAGGTTTAGAAACTATTTGTATAAGGGGCGCCAACGAGCGATGATTGCTGGCGGAAGAGAATCGGCTCAACAACTGTCATTTGTAAATAAAATACCACTTAAGTTTTTTTATTTGTTCGAAAAAAATCGGAACCAATTTTTCGTTGGTACTTTTTTTGTTAATTTGTTATTGTTCGTATTTTTTGTTTACGCGATTCTATAATTAGACATAGTTAAAATGTTTAGACCCAGATACTTTTAAGGGCAACGCAGAGAAAATGCAAGATGAAACACGAAATGTCTCGATTCTGTTTAATTCGCGCACTAACCGTATTTACGCATACGATGAACGCAAAACAATAATAAAATCACCATATGACCCATATAAACTGAAACAATATGTATAGTAACGAATGCAGCTGATATATTATGATATTCATACTGTAGGGATATATTTTACTAATTAACATTTATTAAGGAAATATCATAATATCATACATTAGTAATATGGTACCTACCCATCATGTGATATAGTTTTAATGAGAACGATTAATCTAAGACAAGAGAGTAACACGGTTTCGATGGAGGAAACAATCCACACACACAAAAAATGAATAATGAACCGCAAAATTTATATGACTTAACATTTCTTAACATTTATCTAAATAAACAAGGAGTTTTTTTTTATGTTAGGTAGGGAAAAACGGGAAGTGACTGCAAATTGGGTGTAAAGATAGTCACATTGCTAGCTTAGTATTTTAGTATATTACAGCGTCTTTCTTAAATTCAATTCAATTTTCATGTTTACGTTTTTACATTTTTTTATTTTTCCTCTTTACGCGTTTGGAAATAATATGCGATATTGTTGAGACATCGGTTATAATGTCAATTGTTTGCGCTCGTTTTAGAGGTTTGTGAGGGCGGTATGTGTTCTGTTTTTGTTTTCTTATTATTGTTTCGCTGTACGCGGACTCAAGACAACACTTTATACTTTATTCTCGACTCATCGCACCACGCAATTGTTTCTATGAAAACTAGTACATCTACTGAAAAATTACGATGAGATGGAAATTGAAACGGTCTTCCTAAATATGCATTGAAATATTTGCAATATTGCAACAGAAATAGTTTATATTTATTCTGAAATTATACCGACGACAAAAATATATATTAAAGTATGATGTAAGCGCATACACATTGCTAGAAAGCTTATGGAATATATTTAACGTATAATGAAGAATAAATTTACGAATAGCTCTTATACAATACTTACAATTAGTTAGATCAAGAGAATTGTTGTGTTCATTAGTACTATATTTTACAGTATTTTATACGATATTTTGATACGACGAGAAACAAGAAAAACTACGAAATAAATAAAGCAAATACACACAAAGTTAACAAACAAAGTTAAAATTATATTTATATACAAAGATAAAAACAAAAACGACAAAAAAATAAGGAAAATCAAAAAATACAAATATATGGAAAGATAATCTCTAGTTTTTTACACACACTGAGAATTACAAAGCAACAAACAAAAAAAGAGAAGCGAATTAGAAAAGTCTGCTGGTGCATTATTTTCTCACCTTTGCAACACAAATTACTTCACGTTTGAACTTATTTGGCATCGGTAATTTTTTTATATATGAATTATTTTAGATATGGATGATGATGATATGTACCTGTGATCCTCGCGTTAACCAAATATGTTTAGAAATATTTAATTGATGCTAATGTTAATTGATTGTATAGTTATACAAAACTACAATAAACAATAACCTGAAGTACGCTATTAAAAAGGTGGAAAGTAACGCATTGGGCAGTACAAGGCAAAAATTAAAAACTCACTCTATTTTAAAAGGCACATAATAGGCGTAGTCGACGCAGCCAACATCTAAAGGCAAAATCAAGAACAACCAACAAAAACAATGAAATGAAATGAAAAATGAGAGCAGAGCAATTCTCACACTTGATCGACTAAATGCATATAAAATATCTATGTGTACATGAATACGGTTTTCTTAAACATGTGTTAATTAATGTAAGTTAAAATAACAATTTTCATCCTTATTCGATGATGGTTATAGTTTTTTTTTTATACCACAAACAAAAAAAGAAGGTGTCTATGATGATAGAAATTATTTGGTAAGAAAAGGAAAACCAGTGAATTTTTTGCAAACAAAATTGTATATATCTGTTTTTTATGTTATTATTTGTACTTATTTCTTCTTTTTTTTATTATTTCCTCTGCAAAATTACATTGTTATTGGAACGAGAGTTTATATGAATACATACCACTTTATCGATGGAAAACGAAATTCTTTTCTTTTTTCTCTTAAGTAGAGTTTTCTTTTTTGTTTTGTCTAACTATTATTGTAATATCTATATTTCTAATAATTAAAATATGCATAGACTATATAATAACACACATCTATTGTATGCTGTTTAAAAATTGGTTTTAGTTCCTAAGAGTTTACAAAATAAATTGTTGATTGCTTCACTTGAAAACATTGTTTTATTGTTTATTTCAGCGTTACCCATCTTTGCATTATTTGTGTCTATTTTTTTTTGCAATCCCACATTCCCTCAGAAATGACTTATATTGCTTCCCTAAAGGTTTACCATTTTTAAAACTCAATGTAGCACCCTGTATTTCTCGTATTTTCGTAATTGATCAATTTCGAGTTCTCATATTTCAGTTGAAGGAACTCTGTTTTCACTGAACAACAGGTACGTATTTGTATTCAATTTTTACTTTGCTAAATACTAAGTTACTTTTAAAATTATATTTTGACTCCGAAAGGCAGGACCGTATTATTGTTTCAAATTTACTTCCGAATGATATTTTTGAATTTTTGACTTCAGGAGATAAGGGATAACGAAATTTTGTATGCTTTATATTTATAATTATGTGTTTTTACTTCAAACGTTAAATCGGTGACATCTGACTATCTATGTTGATTACTACTTAAATAATTAGTCTGACAACAAAATATTACTAAGATAAAGCTTTCAAAATGACGTTTTCTGTTGGGTTCTGCAATAAAAAATATAAATTTTAATTATTAATTTTTTGTATAATAGATGAATGGTAAAACGAATAATTCAGTTTTTAGCATTTATCTTGGAAACTATTAGGGTTGAAAGGAAATGGTTTTCAGGATCGTATACAGGGTAAAATTTTACGTTATATAGCTACCTAAAATTTTCGATTTGCAACACTTACGTAATTAATGAAAATGGTCAATAACTAGAAAACTAATTACCCTATCGGAACCAAAATAGAATTAATGGATTCCTGGCATCATTCTAAACAAAGTTAGAAAATTTCGTGGTAATCAGAGTGGGGGTTCAATTTTGTCCGTTTCGATTTTCACCAGAATTTTCCGAAATATTGGTGTTAGGAAAAAACTAAATAGAGATTGTTCATCACATTACGATTCTCTATCGATTGGCGTTTTCCATTTTCCTCTATCTTACAAATAATTTTTTGACCCAAAAATTCATCAAGTGTAACCTCTTGACAAATCTTCATGAATTTTTGTCAACCTCGGAAAATCAAGAAACTAAATCTGCCATCTTATAGATCCTTATTAGGGCATGAACAAAGTTAAAGAAATACTTCTCTAACTTTATTAGTTTCCGAGAAAATTGCATCGGAAAATGACTTTTTCAGTTCGTGAAAATAAAAATTTTAAAGTCTTATCTATTATAGAATTTTATACTGAACGCAATGGCGTTTTCCGTTTTTGTTTAACTTTATTAGTTTTAGAGATAATTGGTAATTAAGTATTGCTACAAGTACACATTTCACTTACATTAATCTACAGGGAAAACCATTATTACTATCAGGAAAAAAGTTGGGTTAATAAGGCAATTGAAAACCCCTCCCTCTAATGAGATTATCATATTTTATTGACAAACCCAAATACAAACTAAAATGTCAGGCGCCTCCGCCATAATATTTGATATTTTTAAATTAAAAATTAAAGTTGCAATTAGATTGCAGATTACGGTAGAGGTGGTAAATGTGCATCTTTTATTTCAATATAATTTTTATTTATCTTGTTTAGTTTATGAGTTATTAACATTTGAAAGTTTCAATAATTCAGATTCAATCAATTGGAGGCTTGATAATGTCATTCAAGTGGTTTCAGATCCTTTTGCTTTAATGAATGTGCTACAGGATAGCTTACTCCGGTTGATTTTTTTTAATTCAAGCAGTTATAAGAGGACTCCTTTTTTACATGTTTTAATCTAATTACATTTTAAGGTGTTTCCGGAATGTTTTATGAATCATCGAAAGGGTACGCATTTGTAAAGGGTATTTTTCTTGGATCGGAAATAGATGTTTTATTGGATTACCATGCATCTATTTTAATTTCCTTTTTATTTAAAATATTATATGATACACTTTTAAAATAAAATCATTATATTCGTATTTGTTTCAGCAATATTATTTCCTTGTTTTAATTTGTGTAGGAACGTAGCAACATAGTTAACATCATCGTTTGTTTCGTTGTAATAGATATAAGAAGCATCAGCATTGCACAATATGACTAAACATTCACCCCAAGGCCAAAGAAATTACTTCAAATGCCAGAAACATTCAAAAATTTAAGTGTGACAGAAAATTCCATTATCATCTTCATTTAAACAGGTAAGAAGACATGTGTATAACATAAATAACACTTTATTATGTCGTTTCTAAATGTTATTGGTGAAAAAGATGCATATTTGTATAAATAGTAAACCACCTGCAAAGCCATAAAGGTCGTAAACAAATTATAAGTCAATTAGCGTCATGATTAATAGCCGTGGACGGAAGTGTGAGTGCATCGTGGACAATTTTTGTTTATTTAAAAATAAACAAGTGTAAATGCACTTCATTCAAGCTGGCTACTGTGTTTCTCTGCGTTATGAAACGTTGCACAATGTGACGCGCGAAATTGGCGTCACGAGCCAACCGCACACAACGATCGTTATTGAATTTACTCGTACACATGTAAATTGTTATTTATATACAATTTTACATGTGTACACAGTACAGCGTGACACGTTATGAATATTCGTGGCGCCAGTCGATTTTCCATTAAAAACGATTGACTCAATATCAATTTTCCAAGTTAAATACTGAATAAATGGCGCCAAGGAAAATGCACGTAATTGTTTGCACATTAATCACGCAAAACGAACGTGCAATAAATAAATACGAATGTTTTAGCCTAGCCTAATCAAGTAAATATTTCTGTTTTAACTTCGAAAAGAACAATTTATTTTGTACATCTACAAACAAACTAAAATAATTACTTCCTTTCAACTTGATGTATCACTTTTTATAGTATTACACATTCTCTCCTGTTTGGCAAGTCTAAGTAAACTCATTTTATGTTTTCTAGATTTCATATGAATCTGCCATTGGAATGTTCCAATGAAAATGCGTTTACAAACTTCGCAATGATACGTTTCATCCTGCGAATTTGCAAAGGATTGAATTGCGACTTTCGCTTCTGGATTAATTTCACATGGCGTTTCCGATATGAAACTTTTAACGATCTTTATTGCAGGTTCCGTGATATTTTCATCCCATTGTTCGATCCTATCAGCTTTTAATGCGTACAACGGTGGTACCTGTTAAATCAGTTTTAATTGTTATTGTACGAACTTGCTTTAAATTTTATTTTGCGTACCTCTCGATCGCTCCTGCCGAGAAATCGATTCCTTATCCATCGGATTTGTTTGCGTGCGTAACGGCGTGTAACACGTTTCAATACTTCTACGCCAGATTCGAATGCAGTTTTCCCTTCGGGGGATGCACGTTGTTCTGCATTCATTATTAAATATTCATGGAATTCTTTCAGTCCTATCATTTGATATATTCCTGTTGTATAATCTGGAGTGCTGTAATTTATTAATCACCTAATATTACTTAAATTTTCAGTAAGCATATTTTAAAACCTGGTTAAGTAGGATTGGTACTCGTTATGAAAATCTAATAATTCATTTATGAGACCGTCTTTTATCATGAGATCAACTCGTTTGTCAATTCGTTCATCTAATGTTTGTTGGTCCCATTGTAGCCAGAATATTATTGTATCCTTGTATCTTAAGCCACCGCCTTGCGAATTACCACCATCCATTTGCTGTTCTTTTAGAATTTCACTCGTTTTACGTCCTTTTTCTTCGTGAACTTCTAATGCTCTAAAAAAGGTTTTATTTGAAATGTAATTACTAATTTAAAAGCAAATAAAAGTTGTTTAAGAATACAGTCATGAAATTAATGACTTTATGACAACATTTCTAAGAAAGATGTGTGTATGTTTGAATATCTCATCCAGAAAACCTTATGATTTTGCGTTTATTGTTTGGATGTAAACGAGTTGCCATTTCCGGATCTAAAACCTTTAGTTTTTCATGCAATTCTTCACTAGATACATCTGGATTTTTCTTGCGATACTCCCAAGGTAAAGTTTTACGAGTATCGCCAGGTTTTTCGATGAGTATGTGCCACAAGAGTGACTCAATGTAGTAGTTTGTGCCGCCGACAACAATTGGTAGTTTGTTTTCAGCAAACAATTTATCGATCTGATTACTAATAGGAAATATTTGATTTTTCAAGCTTTCTGTAGGTGAAACATCAACACCTTGGAGAATTCCAAACATAGTTATTTATAAGTGTAAAGCATGACTTGCATAGACATCACATGAATACAAAAATAATTTTGGCAAACAAGCTGTAAATGGTTATGTTTAGAATTATTCAGCAACCAGTTGCATTATCTTATGCAATATAATGAAACTGTAACTGTAGTAAACAATAATAATCAATATGTTCACATGATTCATTAACATTGGCTAGGCAAGTTTGTTTCCATAAACAATAATTGTTTCAATTTCTGATACATTTTTGCGTTTTTAAAACCTTGTTACTAATTGTACCAAAAGTAAGCAATAACAATTATTATTCTGGTATGACATAGTTAACATTTTCTAAATTTCTAACTGCAATGACATTTGTAGAACATTTTTACAACTTACTTAGTCTAATAGACTAATAAATGTATTTTTTCTAGTACCAAAAAAGGATACTATAGAAACAGCTTCATTTCTAAAGTCTACTACAGTGCATACTTCATTTGGAGATAATTTATCAATCATATGATGTGGAGCAACACTTCGTTCCTCAATGGTAGGTTTAGCACTGATTATATCAAGTTTCTTGTAAATTTGCATAGAGTCAGCCCCTAAAAAGAAAAATCATGTCATAAAAACATATAAACAATACTTGTTAGTTATGAGAATTACCAATAATTTCTCCACAGAACTTTTTAGCCAAATCCAATGACAACTTGGTTTTGCCTGACCCAGTAGCTCCTAAGATTAAAACCAATGGTAGTCTCAACGACATTTCATCCGCTTTTCTTTTACTCATTATCAAAATCAGCTGCACATTAACAATCAGCACACTTTTAATTAACAACACATTTGTTACTTATAAAGTTTCTTTAAAGTTTTGTAGGTACATTATTCCCTGCAACGTGACTACATTCCACATACATTCCAAGATTTAACCTACCAGTTCACGGGCTCAGCTGATTATTGAACATTAATATTTTCATGGAGGTGCTCAAATCTTCAGCAAATTCAGTACATTTTAATCAGTGATTATTATTATAATCATGAATAAGGCTCCAGTGATACAGGACTTTCTAGCTGACAACAATGTTTGTGGCCAAACTATTCTTCAACTGGTTTCAAGAGGAAATGCTATCATTGCAGAGATATTGCGATTGAAACATTACATTCCAAATGTGTTTAGGTAGGAAAAACTAATTCTATAATGCAATGACAATGGTTTATCTTGTGTTTGTTTCTGTTTCAGATTAAATAAGCAAGACAGTCAGAAATATGGAGATATAATTCAAGATTTTAGTTATTTAAAGGCTGCAGAGGCTCATGATACCAAAATTGAATCTAATGATGTATAGATTCAAGTATAACTAATAGTTAGCATAATATTCTGAAAAGTTTTTTTTCTGCTTTAGGTATTGAGAGATTTGGATGAAGAGTTCAAATGCAATCACATCGAGATTATAAAAAGGTTTTATTTGGCATTTGAAAGCATTCATACTTATATTACTGATTTGAATCATTACATTGATGAGTTAGAAGATGGATATTATATTCATCAGTCCCTTGAAAATGTTTTTACTGATATGGAGGGTAAACAATTATTGGTAACTTGATTTTCTTTTATAATAATAATGTAAACATGTATATACTCATTGTTTTGCATTGTTTAGTGTGAAGCACTGTATTTATATGGTGCAATGCTGCTGATGGTAGATGCGCACATTGAAGGAATTATTCGTGAGCGGTTACTTGTTTCCTATTATCGTTATACACCTCAAAGACGAGATACGGCAAGTTGCATTGATGAAGTTTGCAAATTATTAAGAGAAACCGGCTTATCTGCAACCAAAAAGCCAAACAATTACCCAGAAGACTATTTCAGACGTATTCCAATAAAAGAGTTCTACATCGATTTGGTAATAGGTAAACTACGTTCAGATGATATTTACAATCAATTGACGGTTTACCCACTCGCAAGACACAGAAGTACTGCATTGACATCACAAGCTGCTATGTTATGTATTTGTTTATTCTTCTCACCTCATACACTGCATTCCCAAACTGCCATAATGCGCGAAATTGTTGACAAATACTTCCCAGACAATTGGGTGATAGCTTTATATATGGGCTTTACGATTAATCTAGTTGAATCTTGGGAGTATTTTAAAGCTGCAAAGTTAGCGCTCAATAACACGTTGGAGGCGGTTAACATAAAAAATTACGCGAATGCAAATGGCAAAGCGGTTCAAAAACATCTCACAACAACAACGCGCCTACTCAAAGAAGGCACCCTCACAAAGGACAATTTATTGCAAAACATTCACAATACTATTAATGCATTGAGAGACTGTAATGTCGTAATTCGCTGGTTGATGTTGCATACAATTGCGCGAAAAGTCGATAGGTCTAAGAAAGCCAAACAATTACGCGAATTGGTTATTGTCGAATCCAAGTACAATGCAGTCGAAGTGTTTAAATTGCTGTTAAATACGGCGCAATTGGAACTAATTGTCAAAGATATATTCAAAACGCTGCTGCAAGATAAACAGAATAACTGGGAGGTGATGAGGAGTGAAAGTTTCTCGAGTTTAATGGAGATATCCGAAGTGTTCAGCGGGACGAAACCATTGACACGCGTGCAGAAAAACGAAAATCTTGAAGTATGGTTTAAGGAGATATCGAAACAAGTTGAAAGACTTCAACAAGATGACGACACTTCTTCGATGAAGATTGTACAATTAATACAAGCACTGGAGGAAGTTCAAGAGTTTCACGAGTTGAACTCGCAGCTGCAAATTATTCAATATTTAAAGGAAATCCGTAAGAATTTGGACCGTATGCTCCGGAATATGAAAGTGAACGAAGACGTGTTGATAACAATGCAAATAATTGGAGATCTAAGTTATGCTTGGGAATTAATTGACACTTACACACCGATTATGCAAACCGGCATCAAAGCTGAGCCTACTTTAGTTATTAAGTTACGTGCGGTTTTCTTAAAATTAGCATCTGCATTAGAAATTCCTTTATTGAGGATTAATCAAGCCCACAGTGAAGATTTAATATCAGTATCGCAATACTATTCAAATGAGTTGGAGATTTACATACGCATGGTTTTACAAATCATGCCGAAAATGATGTTTGAAAAAATGGCGCGTATCATTCAAATGCAAACGACTGTTTTAAAAGAACTACCGACACGTCTCGAGAAAGATAAAGTTAAAGAATATGCACAGTTGAATGAACGTTTTGAGTTCGCACATCTTACACATTCGATTTCTGTCTTTAGTCAAGGCATGCGCATGATGAAAAGCACTCTCGTTGGTGTTGTTTGTCTGGATCCCAAGAAACTACTCGAGGATGGCATTCGTAAAGAGTTAGTTCAACATATTGCGCATTCATTGCACGTGGAGATTGTATTCACTGGACGGAACAAAAACGAGGAACTCGACCAGAAGCTGAAGCGCATCGGGCTGATCATGGACGGGTATAAGCGCTCATTTGAGTACATTCAAGACTACGTGAACGTGAACGGCCTGAAGATATGGCAAGAAGAAATCACCCGGATCATAAACTACAATGTGGAGCAAGAGTGCAATGGGTTTTTGCGTAACAAGGTGCACGATTGGGAAAGCGCGTTCCAAAGTCGTTACGTGCCCATTCCGCACTATGCGCCGACAGATAGCATTAGTGAGAACTTTGTCGGCCGACTGGCGAGGGAAATTCTACGGATCACGGACCCAAAGTGCGTTTACTTGCCAAACGAAAATGAAAACTATTAATAATTTATGCAATTACAGGAGCACGCTCTACATTGAGCAGACGTCGACGTGGTACGACATGAAAACGCAGAAAATTATCGCTAATAAGCAAACTATTGCAATGATTATGTATGCGATTGAAGTTACCGGCCTGGTCGGGCTTGATCGCTTATTTTCATTTATGATTGTTTCCAATTTAAACAAAATACTTGGTAAGGGTAACTGAAAGTTTGCGCCATCTTGTTAGCTCTTAACTGATGATGTTTTTAGATATTTTTGATAACAAAATAACAAAAAATGCTTCTTGGACAACAACATCAGCAACTATTCAGAAGGAAATGAAATCCTTAGATGAGAGTAGCATTAATCCACAAAAAGTGTATCAAAACGCTATAGCCAAAGCAAGCAAATTGTACAACGGTATGCTGGACCATTTATTGAACATTGGTCAACTGCAGATTTTGCGCAACATAATTGCGTTCAACCTAAACAGCACTTGCAAATTCGACGCGAAGAACTTGGAGTCGTCACTCAGTTCACTAAATAAGTAATTTACGAACATTCACATTCGTTTTAAATGTTATTCTTTGTTCACTTTAAAGTCTTTAAACTATTATTACAACATTGTGTTCTATTATGTTCTATTAGGGCATTAATATTGGACTTTACGAATGACAATTGCACAAGCAGACCGTCGGAAGAGTTGATGGAGAAACTTTCTCAATATTTCGATTACGCCGGAATGAATAATCCGTTTAACAAGATTTACGTCAACGCCAAAGCCGACGGGGCTTGCGCATTCAATTTGTTCGTATTTACGCTCATGCACCTGCAAAAAATGTTCTTATATCAGACGCCAGGTGCGCCCAGCAATTAACAGTCTATTAATTACGCATGACAATGTTTATAATACTGAAATTCTAGGTTTGACAGCTAAGAAGAATAACGAAATGGATGGTGCTGTATTTTGCACTGGCTTACACACGTTTATCAAACAACTCAACTTTGACTTGGGCAAGATTTACATCGAATTTATGTGCAAATATGCCGTACATTTGAGCAAATACGCAATGTCGTAAGTGTTAAGTTATGTGTATCAAGCGATGCATGATACATCAAGCTCTTAAAATTAACGTTGATTGCATTTTATGGCTCATATTTTATTTTTCAAGCATTAAAAATGACATTCCATTGGAAGCAACCCTCGCTCTCAAGTTACTGGATGCTACGACTTCGTTCTCGGAGGAGTCACGCGCGCATTTTCAGAAATGCATTCCCAAAGAAATTATTCATCTGCTACAAACTATTACGGAAAAGTAGACTAAGTATGGATGCAGATACTTTATTGATTTAATCCAAAGTATATAGATTGTGTTACTCTATGAATTTGATTATATATTTTTATCCTCGCAGTCATTTTTGATTATTTAGGTTCAATTGTTTTTACTTCTTGCCGACAACTTGGTCGACCCACGTGCCCAATTTAGCTTCGTCTTGGAGTCCTACAAGTCGCTCGTCTACCTTGCCATTTCGGAAAACAACGAGCTCCGGAATAGACCCAACCTAAAGTGATTGTAATACGATCAGAGTTCGCTCGTGAGTATATGTCGGCGGTTTACCTCGTATTTTGCGGCAACCTCGGCCATATTGTCAATGTCAACTTGGGCTACTGAGATTTTGCCCTTGTGTTTTGCTACGACATTATCTAAACGCGGTTCCATTGCTTTGCATGGTTTACACCAACTAAACAATTAATAATGGATAAGTATAACAATGTAAAACGGACCACAACTTTGTTTAACATGAACATTTACTTACTTTGCACAAAAATCTACAATCACCGGGCTGGTGCTGTTCTCGATTTTCTCTGAAAAGTCTTTCTCGTCCAAAACCTTGTACGAAGCGTTACGCTTGAATTGCCCTGAAAGGCGCCGAAGTATTTTGCAGGTATTCATGATTTTGAAGTGATTTTAAAATGATACTCAGGAGAAACAGTAAAATGTGTTTAGACTAAAATTTGAAGCCTTTCACAAAACACCAAACGTTTCTCTCATTAAAAAAACAAACTAAATTATTGATTTCACAGCATACTCCTATTCAATATGAGACCTTTTGTGTCCAAACGTAACAAAGTTTTTTAATTATAACTTAATTTTGCCTGGAAATCAAGAAATTACTTCAAAACGCAAGTTTGTTTTGTATCGTTGAGCGCCACGAGTTTACCTTTCACCTTACTCGCACCCAACCCAAAGCCAAAGAACAAATCGACTTGGTGCGTCTGTCTAGTCGCGCATTTCCTTTCGAGTCAGTCGCTTAAGAACTCTTCAGCGCGCACGGTACCACCAGTTATTTGCTTCTTGTTAATAACATTGCATCGGCGGCGCGCGCTCAGCAAACACATAAACATTAAGAGGCGCATTCCTCACACTTTATTCATCGCATGTTAATTTTTATCGCGTATTAAAATTCCTAGAGTGTTCGCGGTGGATTTCCGATTTTTTCGAATTAATTCGTTTTTGTATGCAGGAGCGCATTCACAAAGTTTACAAAGTAGAAAGCCGCCATTCGAACGCCGCTAGGGTGTCGGACTGTGTCACAGTTTTGTGGTGACATGTGTGTTGATTCTTTTTAATGAACGGATAAGGCACGCAAAGAGATTTTCTTCAAAATGGTGAGTGAATTTATATAAACTTTAATTTAAATTCTATACAAACACCGAGGAAAAGTACTTGTCTAAAGTTTCTGACTGAATTCTCTTCAGAGGCATTCGTTTGTTAATGCCATTGGAAAGTTTTGCGTATAATACGCATTTATTGCTTGTGTTTAATCTATTGAAACAAAACAAAAATCGATGAGTTATACAGATCTTTAGTTAATGAACTCTATGTTAGCTGTATGAATACTGAAAGCAGAAGGTGTGTGATCGCGCTTTGCGATAAATTAGCAGAGAGAAAATGTTTTCTGTTTATGCTTCTCATTATCAGTTTCTACAATCGGAGGAAGAATAAAAATTATTAAAAATGAAAAATTGATTATAAATGATTTGCATATGCCACAAGACATAATAAAGAAAAGAATAGTTTTACTTTCATTGCATTTAATTTAAACTTTTAAGTAATCGCATGTAAAGTTACTTTAAATACTTAAGTAGTTATTATTATGTTGATTAGTATTGTTTGCTCAAGCGTTCGGCCAATTTTTACATTTTGAATGCGGAAAGTAAAAGCGGGCGCGCAAAATTTGCTACTAGCGAAGAAAATATTTACAAAGGCGGTGTCTAATTTATTGTTTGTCGTGGCCGATGAAAGTTAAAATTATGGTGCAATGCCATATGCCGCGGCTGTCGGATTCGCGTTAATGCAATTTTGTTGTTTTCACATTTTTTGGAATGTCATGAAATTTTGGGAGCCGCTTTCATGGATCGAAATTTTTGCAATTTTAAACCAATCAATTTTCTAATCCACTTGAACTATTCAATTCAATCATTTGTTTTCGCTTTCTTTAAAATATTGAATGAGAAATTTTTAGAATTAAATCTCGGATATCTTCTTCAAATACTTGCATTTGATATTCATTGTTTTTAATAAATCAATTTCTTTCAATGGGCAAGCAATGATTTGATTCTTATCAACGATAATAATCATTTTAATAATAAACATCATCATGCCACGCCAATGAGTATATTAAATAGTAATTAATAAAAATGCAGAATAAACTAATAATGAACTATTAAGTAGAGTGGCTGATATCTTAGTAATTTCCCAAGTTAAACACCAAAATTAAAGTTTAAAGAGCCCTTAAATAAGTTTTATGCTTTATTATAAACTTTGGTTATGACACATACAAAAATTTATATTTTGTATAAGAAACGTGTGCTCATATTTCAGGAAATGTTCTCGCACAACTAAATAACATTCATAATAGTTTAACCACTTTCAATAATATGACAAAATGTTAAAACGATGACATGCTCTAATAACAACACCTCAAGTTTTGATTCTAAACTTTAAACTCCCAATGTTGTATATTTACACCGCCGTCAAGCGTTAAAGTGTAAAAACGTAAAAAGTAAGTAAGATGTAAGAGATTATGTCCTGAATCCTCGTGCTCTAGGCTAGCGAGGCGTTCGTTACAGACGGTTAAGCACCGAGTTGGTTCTTCGGGTGTTTATCGCGTGTCTGCGAAAAGTGTACAATGCATGTAAGCATAGATGTAAACCAATGTACTCGTACGTACGTACGCCTATGGTTTACAACCGGCAGTCTGCACCTAGTCTACGCGTCGATTTGCTGAAGTTACATAACGCGTTCGCGTTAACCTGTTGCATTGGGAACAACGCACGGCTAATAATTAACGTTTGCAATGTTCACTCTTATATGTACTTCAATGTAGGATTGTAGGTATGTCTGCAGACATACTGAAGAGGATGTTCTTGTTACGTACGTTGTAACTGTATATGTAAAACTGTTAAATGGTTTATGTTCACTTTTACTTTACTTGAGAGTCACTGGTGTTACTTTGGTTTACTTAATTTTGTATGAAATTTGTATGGAAATTGCGTTAGGTTTCATGAGTGTGATTCCTTTTTATGTTATATCCGGAATTGTATTAGTTTAAAAGCAGAATTTTATATTCTGCTAAGTTTTATCTACTTGCGTAGGGGTCAGGGCGGTTTTAAGGTAGTTCTAATCGGATTTAAGGATAGTTGAATAAATTATTTGAAAGATTTACTCTTCAATTTTAAAATAACGATATTAAAACTATAAAAAGTGTGTCAATTCGTGACATATAAGCAAATTTCCTTTGAAAAATCTTTAAAAGTACTGATAAGCTCTGTATCTCAATTTTTTTTATTCTAAAATGTAGTTCTTTATTAAAATTTACGTAAGTTTTGATAGTACATATTTATTAAGTAATCGAAGATTTGACAAACAGGTATTGACTTAACTAATGCAAAAATTAATTATCTCATATACCAGTTTACTTCGCAAACTCGCAAAGTAAAATCAAAGATTTCGATTCGTTGACTCTGTGACACACATTTTTTAATTTCAATTTTCTAAAACTTTTACTCTTAAGTAAAGTACCTACTCAAGTTTTTAGTATCCATAAAATTGTTTAATCCATGCGTATAATGTTCACTTCTAAACAATTAACATATTTCATCATAAAGGACTAAAAACAACTAAAATATGTTGAAAGTCTAATTTTTTCAATCAGATAAATATACCCACTCACCCACAAACATTGCTTGCAAATAGACAAAAAGCATCAAATAAGAAGGACGTTTCCCAGCTTCACATCAGCATGATTTCCATACAATGTTCCAGCACTCGTGTTTCTGTTCATATCTAACTTAAAGAGGGACTTGATGCATCGCAATCTTAAGATTTGTTCAGTGCGTACGCGTTTTCAAAGGAATTCTAATTAATACCTACTCGTGCAATTTGTTCTGAAGGTAATGCTAAGTCAGTTTCTATTCGGAGTGTGATCTTGGAGCTTGGGAGCAGATGATTAAACGCGTTAATTGTCTAGATAATTTAATCATTAATTGGATATTTTACAAACAAAGAAAACCGAAATGTTTAATTTTGTATTAATTGTGGGTAATTACGAGAATTGTTTCCTTTCTAAAAATATTGGTATTTTTAAGTGCATTTACGTGGAATTTTGCACTTAAAAATTGAGTACTAAAAATAAAGTAATTATTTGTTAATTAGTGTCAAAAATCCAAAAAGATAAATATTATTTTTAGATTTAGTCTTGACCGAATTCTAGAAAGTCGATATTTGATGCCTGCGGCAACTATTAAAGACATAATTTCAATCAAAAGCGTACCTTTCAACTAGCTCTGATTTATTGATCGAAAGAAATAACGTAAGAATAAAAAAGTGTTAAGATCGTTTACTACACGAACCGGCACGATTAGATAATGATATAAATATGTGTAATTTAGAGGTATTAATGTTGTGGTTACAAAATAAGAACATTCTTTTGGTTCATAATTTTTTTGAGATATAATTGATGGTATTTACACTAATGTCTTTTCAATGCAGAGAAAAATAAGAAATAATAGTAACTTATTGACATTTGTGTAAATATAGGCTATTATTAGTTATACCAAAGATTCCCGGTTAATTAATAATTACAAACTTTGTAAATTTAACCAAATTTATATTTGAGTAGCATTATTAAAAAGCATGTATTATTTTTTGCAAATATCTACTCAAACACAATGTTTGACTGATTTTGCTAAACATATAATTATTGTTGGTACGATACACGAATGAAACAACCACACCTAAGAATAATATCTGTAATTGTTTGAATTTTGAGTTTCGCTAGGCGCGTGTCACACAAAAATGTTATTGCCAAACAACAAACAAGTCGACATTTAGAGCACGCGCTGATATTTTACGAGTGATTACAAAACAACCTGTTGCTCTTAATAAACCATCAAGTCCACAATCAAGTCCACTGCTCGACTTCACCTTTTTTGATCATTTATGTGAATTTAAATTCTTGAAACATCACACATAATTATCAAAAGTATTCATTACATTGTTTAAATGGATTAAGTACATATTATATTTTCCATAAACTATTACTACATATAAATACAAATTAAATTGTAGTTTAATCCTAATCAAGTGAAGTGTCAAATACTTGACTAGTTCAATTTATTATTCTATTATTTTGCTATCAAATCAAAATAGTTTCAAAATTGAAGTACCACTACTTAAATTCTAACTACTCAAAATATAAATTGAAATTTTTTGCTTGTTCGATTTATGTAATTTATAATAAACAGCTTTATAAAAAATCAAACATTCTCAAGAGAATATTTTTAAATAATTAATTAAATATATAACACTTTATATAACTCTGTAATATGTCGTGTTGTTTTTTGTTTTGTTTTCATTTTGTGTACAATTTAATTGTTTAATTTGCACTTTTTGAACAACAATAAATGGGAACGTTAAAGTTTCTGCTTTGGTGATTCGAACGATTTGCCACGCTTCTATTCTTCAATTATTCGAATGCTTTCGTTTTAGTTTAGTTTATTGTTAAAGTTCCCACCGTTTGTGATGTCAAATAATCGATAAAATTACACTTTCATTCCGACCTTAGAAGTACACTCAAAGAACAAAACACACGCAAATTTTATCACAATATCTCCTTGCGATCAATCAATAACAATGCCTGAAATTAATTAATTAAGTCGCATTAAGATCTTATCATGTTATAATCCGTTTATGAGTATGTCGATAAATCATATCACTAGAGTAATAAGAATAACATTTAGAGATGCAGACTGATTTCTAGAATATGCGATAATTCAATATTAAACGATTAATCATCTCAAAGCAATACTTGATTGGGAATTAATTGTGAAAACAAACTTAAAGTGCAGTGCTTGCATATGAGAGTGGATGCTGGTGCAGATTATATGCCCAGTTGCTATTAGTTCTGCTCGCCAAACACGTCGTTATGATTTAGTGAAAGTTGCGGCACGTAGAGTTCACTCCGCAGATGCAATCACGAAAAAATAGACATTACCAAGAAAAATCTACAATAATAGTAAAAATTCCCATAAATAACGAAACACAGCCAGCGATTTAATCTCTAATCATGCGTAATTAATCTTTAGATTTTGCTTGGAAATCACGC